AGATTGGAACGTTTACTGAATTATGTTTATAAAGTCCTATATGCGTCAAATTGTCGCGTTCCGTAAATCATAGCGTTGAAGAGATTATATATAATATTCTTTAGTGTTCTATGAATGTTTTTGAATATCTTTAATTAGTTGTAAATATTCATTCAAGTGTCTTCAATGAAATGTACAAGTCTTTTTTTCAAATTTTGTCGGTTCTGCTAACACTACAGTGAATTGCCAAATATTATCGATCCTCGTTTATTAATTGACCTTCTTTTTATAAACTGATATAAGAAATTATCTTACTTGAAATAAATTCTTTTAATTCTTGTCTCTAGGAGACGCCAGTATTTCAAGCAATCGTACGAATTATTACAATTTCCGCTCGCCGCCTCACAAACTACAAGAAAAATCCTTGACTCACTGTGTGTAATAGCTTTTCAATGATTTCAATAAAAAGTTACATTTCATGTAAATTCAGATTGCTTTTCGCAAGCCGCTTAATTTCCTTTTATCAGGAATTCGGACTAATTGTCGCTCTGCGAGGACCGGAAACGCATCGATGGAACGACGATAGAGAGCCCGCAAAATCGCTCGGATCACCATCTGTCACAGCGGATTGTTAACTCGGTTATGGCGCACGCATATCAAATCGTCCACGGCGTACCTTAGCACGAAATAGGCAGCGCAGTAATGCGATTTGGATATATGGAGAGTCCTGTGGGATATTACCAGCACAGGGCTTCCTCCCCTGTGATACGACAAATGATATGCATATGTAAATACGGTGACCGAGCATTACGAATCGGCCTAATACCGGGAAATCTGATTTGCAAACCATTCTACTGATACGCTTTTACTCATAGTTTTCAAAATTCTCTTTGATATTTTACCGTACGAATGGCAATCTAAGAAAATATCGGGTCAGTCCGTAAGTTCTTTCGTATTTTCAAGGAATTTCGAAACAATGAAAATAAAACGCATTTTACTGTTTTCATGGACGATCTATTCAGCCTCATTATTTAAAGTAACTTTTTTATTCTATTTTTATAAAAGCATACTGATGATGATTTGAAAAAGAATGATAGCTGTTGGTACATATTTGAATTCTGCAGAAAATCCTGTAGAAAGAAATATAAATTAATTGAATGTGTACGTGCATAAGCAAATATGCATTAAGCTTTTCAAATAAATTTTTACCGAAAATAATTACATAATTAATCGAAATTTTTTGAAAGATAGATACATGTTAACAAAATAAATCTACTAACTCTAGCTTGAACAATAATACATAAGTCCACAGGAAATCAGAAATATTAAACTCAATAATTTCTTGTAATTAGAAACGAAAAGGACATGACTTTAAAAGAATAAAACGAATAATTCAGAGTGGTATGATATAAAATGATTCGGAACTATTTCGAAATAAGGCATCTTGACTATGAAAAGATGTTTATACAATAATGAAGAACGGGAAGGGCGTGAAAGCGGCGGTCAGAGGGAAAAATAGAGTTTCCTCTGGATTGATCCAGTAACCTCGAAACAACAGGCGCAGAGAGAAGTCCAAGGGAGTTTAGTTTTATCTCACGGTCTTTGGTTCTATCGCTGGTGCTCGGATGATCCCGTTAACAGGATCAAGACTCGTGGCAGGCGAAGGGTTCTTGTTATTCGCAATCGCCTTCTCCTCTGATCCTTGGGGACGCGAAATCCCCCCGGATGCTCGGCGAATTACCAGGAACGCCCGGGATATATTCATTTGCAGAATACACAATGAACAAAATTACTTGCCACCGCAATTCTTATTAGTCTTACCACGACGATCCGGACTGTTGACGTTGGATATTACGTGTCCGTCGAAGCTAACGCGCTCCGCTAGACTCGTCAGCGAAACGATCCGCGCGATACCAAGGGCTACGTGGTACCGCAATATCGGATTAATTATCGATCTACGCATTGTGCAAAGGTGATATCGTCAAATCACGCTACGACGCTCTTGAAATTATCGTTGTCTTTTTTTCAGTTGGTATCTAACGACTTCGATTCGAGAATTAAACATGACCGATGACGGTATGCCGGTGGTCGTATCATAATTGGATGTAATTTCGTGAATTGCAAATTTTTAATCAACTGTGCTTCCGCTAACTGTTATCGTACACATTTGATATTTCTCTTTCAATAGACGGGCTTACGATCGGTCACGAAAACCGACCACAAAAATGTTAAAAGGAAATAAGAGTAATTTTTTATGGAAATTAAATCAACTACATTGTGTAATTAGATGAATCGTGAAAAAAGTAATATTGATTCGTTGTATAGTTAATGAGGATGATTTTAAACGTGTAATATTTTTTCTTATAATCGGTATAATTATTTGAAAATGTTTATTAAATTATTATCTTTTCAATGGAATAAAGTTCAAATTAAAATTAAGCTACTTTAATCACCTTTAAGCTAAACGATTATGGATATTTCCATTCGTCCAGCAATGATCTGCTGATCAATTATCTTTGACGGATTTTATTCGGAAATCTGTTAATTATTCGATTGAACAATTGATGCGAGATATGGAATCAGAGATAGGAATCAAATGATTCGTATTGACTATTATAATTTGATTAATGTGTCTATTTGAAATGATAACATATACATTGAAGTTTTTATTCTTTTATAAAAGAAAACAGTGCAAATAGTTCTAGTTCATCGTATTCACATTTCCAATACTATTTTCATGGTCGTCATTCCATTATGTTGATAAACGTATAAGATACCAAAATAAGTAGAGGAGAATAACGTAAAACGGAACAGTAATGTTTTACATAGATGAAGAGACATTTATTTTTCAATTGAGAGTGAACATTCAGTGAACATTCAGTGAACAAGTTTTGATCTAATGTAGCTGTTGGAACCCCTATTTTGTAACTTTAAAAAATTAAAAACTTTCCCATTAAAAAATTGGGAAAGTTAAGTCTACCGCTTGATTCTACGTTCGTTAAGCTGTATTTTTTTTATATTTAAGTCATTACTTTCTCGCACGATGAAGTGTAGATTTTGAATTTTTTCTAAATTACGACTCGTTGGGCAAAATGAGGGAAAACCTGAGAACACTTTAGTGTGAGGTAAAAAGGACCGTCTTATGTATATAGAAAAATATTAATATCATTAGTTATTGTAAAAAATGTATGAGTGTATGTATGCGTGTATATGTTGCATTTAAGTTGAAACTATGTAAATAAATGTGTCTGTGAGTCGTCTTTCGGTTTTTAGATCGCTCGAAATGCCATGAAACACGAGTTAGTTATATAGCTGTGTTTCGACCGCGGTTCGATGGTGTTCGATTTATTTTATCTATTTATTTTATTTATTTTAGCGCCACTTGCTTCCAAAGCAAAACACGAAATGAGCAATGAAAAAAGTGGCCCCAAAACAGTAAAACGTAGAAAAGTAAAAGAAGAAAGGTATCCCAGAAGGAAAGTAAAATAAAAAGATAACATGAATTCAGGAAAATCTACTTATAGATACATTTTGTAATGAATTTCATACTCATTCAAAAACAGATGAAGAATGGTTACTTATTGCGATAAATTTCAATTTGGAACAAAAAAACAGAAAACTTCTATGAAAAATATCGATTGAGCAAGCAGTACTCACTATGATATCAGTTAATGGTTTACCACAATCTCTATTACAGTTTCATTACAGAAATGTTACAGTTATTGATGACAAGTACTTATACTTCTTGATCACGTGAAACAATTGTGAAAAGCTCAATTCATTCTGCAGATTCTCGAAGTGACATCGAATAATATATTGGTTAAATTTCTTCATTGGAATTTAATACTTTAGTATCTTAGATGCTAGTACTAATAACATTATAGTTAGAGTAAAAGTAAAATGCCTCTTAATCTCAGGTAAAAATTATTAACATCTCTCTCCCGATTCTAATTTCATGGATAAAAAATATTTGACTATATAATTTGCGTTTCATTTTATTTTCAATCAACTACTGACACATTTATCGCACACAGAATATTTCACGCAGAATAGAATTTCCAGCGTTCATTGTTTATATTTGAAAACGTTGATTGAAATTTTACTGAAAAATAATATGCATTTTGAACTATGTAAATATGGAGTGTGTAATTTACGAAATAAAGCTTGTCAAATGGATGTCCTGCATTACAGTGCACCTGCCTGATGAAAACGTCGGTGAACTTTCAACCCTTGTCCCGAGCAGGACCATCGTGCTAACGATTTGCAAATACCGTCCCAAGGCTTGCTTCACTCATAATAAACTTTTTACTCATCGTGTTGTATAAGAGCAGACTTGGCATTTTTGGAAGCCTGATGAAATAATGACAGAGGATTACACGTGTCAATATCTTCAATAATAGTAGCTCATATTAAACTGTCTAATTTTATGTTCCAAATACTTCTTGAAAATTTGCAAACCGCTCAAATAATTTCGCAAAAATATTTTCAATGAAACAATTACTTTAGAAGTTCTTAATTAAGCGGATATTAACATTTTTTCACAGGGAATTTGTATAGTATAAAATATTTACTTTGGTAAAATCACGTTACATATAGATCACATAAAAATGTTCCTAAAAGACAACAACACGTAGAATAGTGTACTCAAATATTATTCGTACACAAAAACAGAGACTATGGTAGATATATTTCTTCTATCTAAGATGATTCTTTTTGCCTGTAATTGAATACTCTCCAATATCTTGATTAAACTCTGATAGGAGACATTTCACAAGAAGGTATAATTAAAAGATTGTATTATCGAATTTCGATTGACGGTTGCGTATTATCAATTTCAAAGTGTCACTCACGTCGTCCAGTAAAAAGTTTATAGAGTGTATACTCGTTATCAGATTAATCTCTTCCTCTTTCTAAGAAAAAAGAAAGAAATCCGATAAACGTACACGATACGGATGTCACTTTATCTTTGCAATCAAAGCTACTGAATTCTCACACGTTGAGAATACCACTCTTTGTAACCGATGCTTATTCATATTGATAAAAATCTAATATTTTGTTTATCTTTATCGATGGAACGTACGCTCTCGATACGTATATAAATTGATCCATAGAGTTGTCAGTAACAGAATTGCGATTCTTGCCATCATGTACACACCAATCCTTGTACTGTGCCTAGCGGTTGCCGCTTTCGGTAAGTAAAAACAATTGCCACTAAATCAAGTTGGAAATTACTCATTTAAGAGAAAGCTGGAAAGAAATTTATATTTTCATAATTTCTAACGTTAAATTACTCTTGAACCCTTTGTACCAACTATATATGCTTTGATCATGAGGGTCAGCTTTATTTTCCTTGATGAAATTATCTTGCAAATATTACACTACAAATAATTATATTGTAAATATTAATTCACTTGTTAAAATGTTTACACGAATATTTTTGGACGTTGATGAAATAATATTAGCAGTGTCTCTTGAATAATTTAATAACAGTTTAAACAATTGTAGTTTAGAAATTGCTTAATTTAAATTTCTTAATACAGCCTTCCCCGAGAGCCAAATTGTGGGTGGAAAAGATGCACCTGCTGGAAAATTCCCATACCAAGTGTCGCTTCAGAGCAACGGAAGACATTTCTGTGGTGGATCAATCATCAATCAGCGTTACATCCTTACCGCAGCTCACTGTGTTGAAGGGTAAGGGTCTTTTGGTACTTCCACTAATCAATTCTCAATTATAAACAATCTTACCATAAAATATATCCAACGGACAAATCAGTAAACTTGAAGTTTCGTTTGATTTATGCACAGTTAAAAACAAAAATATTAACTTAACTATAAATAATTTTGATGAAATAATAAAATGTAATAACGCTATCCAACTCATGAATTGTCCAATCAGTTACTTTAATTATAAATCCGTTTTTCTGAGAGTATAATGTATTCTATGTAAAAAAAATCTATTTCTACAGAACCTCTCCTTCAGCCGTAACTGTCGTCGCCGGATCTAACAAACTGAGTGTCAAAGGAGTTTCCTATGGAGTAGAAAAGATCACAGTTCATCCGCGGTACAGTTCCATTTTAATTGTTAACGACATTGCTGTACTTCGCGTTAATAGGAACATTGCTTTCACCAACTTGGTTAAACCAGTCAAACTGGCATCTTCGGAAACTGCTGAGGGATCATCTGTTGTTTTGTCTGGATGGGGAACGACCAAGGTTAGTAATAATTTTTTTTACCAATTTCAGATAATTCTAGTTGTTGAAATATAAACTTTCATAGACAAAGTGATTGGTGTTAAATCTGACAGAAAGGATCAAAATTCTAACGTGAATAAATCACTTCAAGAAAATACTAAGTGATAAACTAAGAATCCAATTAAAAGTTTACGTTCATATTCTGCCAGTACAAAAAGATGCCTAATTGTTATTTATTTCGCTTATAGGCTGGAGGAAGTGTACCTGACAATTTGCAAGAAATCAACCTGCAAGTTTACTCTCAATCGAAGTGCAAGAAGACCCACAGCAACCTGCGTGATACACACATCTGCACATTCACCAAATCCGGCGAAGGAGCCTGCCACGTAAGTTTCATTCATCATTACTACGATTATCAACATAACACTGAATATTTAAAATTGATTTATGGATTCAGAAGAAAATTATTACGTGATAATTAACTCTAACGGATTTCCTCTTCTAATTTTAGGGAGACTCTGGCGGTCCTCTTGTCAACAACGGCGAACAAGTTGGTGTTGTTTCCTTCGGACGTCCCTGCGGCGTTGGATATCCTGATGTCTTCACAAGAGTATCTTCCTTCGCATCTTGGATCAAGGCTAACACCCCCTAAATGGCAAAATTATAACCACCCGGTTGTAATGCGAACTGATTTAACTGGCTTTATATCTCCTATATGACTTTAATAAATATTAATTGCTTATAATAATTAAACATGTGTTTTCTTGAAATTACCACTTCTTGACGGCAAATTATTTTAAATGGTTTACATTCATAATAAATATATACTGTTTGTCAGTTATTTTTGTACATTAAATACATTTCTTCACAAGCATTCATTTATAAATAATGTTATATTTGCGACAACTTTGGAAAGGAAAATTTTCCACTTAATAGATTTCTATTAAATCTATTAAATAAATATTGTTTTTAAATTTAATTTGTTATATTAAAGAACCTATTGATTTTTTATTATTCACCACCGCTTTCTAGTTATTGACAAGAAAAAAAATTATTTTAATTTGTATTAACTGATCAGACATTTTAAGGCAGAGTAATCCATATTTTCAGTTATCGATAAAAACAGGAACTAATTTCTTCTACGATTAACCAAGTTTCTGATTACTGATAAGGAAAAAATCTACCTCTTTCTGTAATTTAACCTGTTTTCTTCATTATTGATAAAGAAGAAAACTGCTTTCGTTTTAACATTGCCTTGTGACTAAATCGATACTGAAGTTAGGATATAATTTACGTGAAGTCCGTTTGGTGGCGTAACGTTTTCTCCGTTTAGGGAATGTTTATAGAGTTGTATACAGAGGTTGTGCGAATTTTTTACTCGTGAACGGTTTCAAAAAGAAACATGTCAAAGTCAAAAAAGAGTACACATAGTACAAAGGTAATAATTGATCTTTCTTATATTCTTATTGTCTCTACTTATTCTTATATTTACAAGAGCCGTATCACATACTTTGGATGAATACATTTCTTAATAACATTTGGTTTACTTATAATCAATGTATTATTTATAATTAATGTGACGTATTCATTATGAATGGAAATATAATTTCAGGATGCTAGTAGTTCATCTGGTACATCTTCATCACTATCATCTGATGAGGAAGTGGATGCACGAGATCTTAAATCAATTAAAGAATATTTATCAGATCGTCGAGAACTAGCTCGTCAACTTTTCAAGTCTGTAAAGTCAGAAAAAATACAAATGATGTTGCCACAAGTATTAAAGGTAAGTTTATTATTAGTTTAATTAACTCATTTATATAATGTGAAGTCATTCTTCGTAGAAAATGGATTTAGGTCAGTTAGAGGAATGGTGTGCAAATGAATTAAGTGGTATGTCAAAAGCTCGTATATTATCTATTTTAAATGGGAAAGCTATGGTAGAATCCTCAGATACAACTGAGTCTGACGATTCAGGTATGTTGAAAATTCAAGATGAACAATCATATAAATTAATGGTAATAGTAGAGAGGAGTAGATATTACATAGAAATATTTTTGTGCTAATAGGACCTTCTTTAGAAATTATCTCAGATACAGAGGAATGGTTTAGTGATGAGGATTTACTTAAGAAAGAAGAAGGATCACAGTCTCTAAAGGGAAAGATAAATAAAGATAGAGTTAAACAGAAAGGAAAAATTTTATCTCAGAGGAAAAATGATAATAAATATACCAATAAGAAAATTTCTGATAATGTCCTTAAAAATGTTGAAATAAAAAAAGAGGAGGAAGTAGATAAAAATAAGGAAAAAGAAGGTGATAGTTTACTTGATTTGTTAGAATTAGAAATGCGGGCAAGAGCAATACGAGCTTTAATTAGGAAAGAGGAGGACATTGTACCAAATGCTGCTCAGTCTGTCGAGGGTGGTAACAGTGCAAATGCTAGAAATAAAAGCGAACAAGATGAACAAAAAGAAAAAGAAAATTGTCGAAGACAGTTGGAAAGAATTATTAGTGCTCAACAGAGCAGTAATATTGAGGATGAAGATGTGGTATTAGTTGTTCAACCAACTACTACTATTGAGTTATTATCTAGTGAGAGTGAAGGAGAAGCTCACAGTGGAGTACGTATAAATAAAAAATTACAAAACGAACGTGTTATAGAGACCAAAGAAAATGTTGATATCAAAGATAAGGAAACTAGTAACGCACACAATACAATTAATTCAGATAACTCAAATGAAAATAAAGATACAGATAATATATCAGAAGCACATAAGAACGATGTTTCCAAACGAGTTCATAGCAATAATTTAGCTAATAGTGATGTTCAGTCAAAACCAGTTAGTATAAAAAGAAAGAGGGTAAAGAAAAAATCACATACAAAGGAACAACAGAAAAGTGCAAGCTGTAAAGTGGATCTACATAAAGTAAAGTCACATAGTGAAAATCAACATAGAAAGAGTATGAAGAGTAGTGAATGCATTAACGAGAATGTGAAATTAAATGGAAATGAAGTCGGGGACAGTAATAAGTCAAAACTGCTTGACAAACCGGTCCTTAAAAAAGAAGATTCGGTAGAAGCATCAGGTGCATTAAATGTAGCAAACTTAGATGAAGAGAAGTCTAGTGATTTAGATGAAATAATTGATTTAGACAATTACTGTGATGACATGGATGATATGGAGAACAGTGAAAATGATAAAAATAAAAATAAGCAAATTAAGAAGAGTGACCAAGGTAAATCTGAAACAGAAACGTCTTCTGCCCATAAGCCAAGCGGAGCTGAAACATGGGCAAGTCGATACTACCAAACAGACGATGTTCAAAATGTGATAAAAGAATCGAAGATACAGTCAGAAATACGTAAACGATTAAGGGAACGTCAGAGGCTATCGAAACTTACTGCATCCCCGAATAAAAATTCTCCGTCGTCATCCCCCGTGATAGAAACTGTAAATAAAAAAGTTCCAGAAAAAGACCCGATGGGTTCTGTGGATGAATATTTAGCTTTAAAACAAACTGCCGCTGCGAGCCTTAGTTCCGGTACCAATAGCAATGATTCCAATGTAGTAAATGAGGGTATTGTATCTATCAATAGTTGTACCGATGAAAGTACATTAGTTGAAACTGATTGTATATCAACTGTACATTTAAATAAACAAACAGATGATGAAGAAATAAATTGCAATATGAAGAACGAAGGTATCGTTGGTACAGTAGATACCAATCCTGGTTAATGTAATTTGCAGACAGTGAATTTAGCTATACCACTTGAATTTGAATACTGTTCTTCAACAGGTTTAATGCGGAACAAATTATGTACAGACGTTTTCTTTCACTTTCAGTTCTATTTATCTCCGCACTTTCTGAAAGAATAAAAAATATGAATAAAATTCGATTACACAAAAAACCACATTTTTTAGTATACTTGTAAATTAATGATGTCTAGACATTTCTGTCATTTCCATAATGCGACGGTTATAATTCCTTTCATCCAGTAAATAGTTTCCTTGTTGCGCTTACCACGTTTGGTAAGAGACATAATATCCATTACTACAAAGCCGACGTTGAAGTTTTCTAAACAGAAATTTCACGTTACATATAAATTTCTCTACTGCTTTGTAATTAGCAATTATAAAATAAACCAAAGAATCTGTAACAAATTCACCGTTTACAAAATGGACCCCATTTACTGCATTTCAACTAAACGAACTCATTAAACCTACCTTATTTTGCGATTTCACTTCATCAATAAATTTTCTCTAAATTCGTACTAACCGTACCATTACATTTGTAACGAGGCGGTGTTTTATGTAACAGAAGCAATGCTAATTAAAAAAAAACATTGGGGGGAAAGTAAATTTTCGAATCGTCGGATCTAGGTGGATCGGTTGTTTAACGATTATTATTCCCGGTTCTAAAAATAGAACGTTTCTTTTAATTCGAGCTATGACTTCGCGGAAGCTAAACGTCGAGGCAGTACGCGTGCAATACGACGTGCATTTATTGTGACGTACAAATGATGTTGCCCGACCTAGGAAATGCGGGGACCGTTGCGTTGCCCGCGGTATACCTGCCTCTCATTGACTCGTGTCATTGCATGTTTGAATGCTGCGACTGTGGGGCGTTACGACACCATCGGAAAGATTTTTCAAAACCTCGCGACGGTCTTGGCACAAGGAACTTTCGATCGCAATGGGTGGTTCCGGTGCCGTGAAACTTGGAAAGTTTCTCCGCGACGATGCAAATAAGAGATACAAAAAGGGAGGGAGACCGGTAACTTCGCGCAGGGAGTAGAAAGGTCGATAGTGCTCTGCATCATGCGAGACAGATCGTTGATGAGGTCCGAGCGGAATTTAAATAAATAATCCTGCCCGCCCGGACTTATGCAATACCTAGAAACTTCCAGGCGGTATACTTCCGAGGAAAGTCACATTTACCATTCCGCGACCACGGTAGACCAGTTAATAGAGTGATAAACAGAAATGTCGCTTGTCGCCGGCGTTCTTCTCGACGATTCTTCGAATCACGCGTACATAATACGAAAAGCAGCTCGTGGAATCATACTGTTGTTTTCGTTTGTTCTTCGTATAAGATATCTAAATTTGTATTTTGGTAATGTAGTGGGGGTATTGATTTCTGTAGTTCCTTATTTAACTGGTTTAATAGTTCTATGTAGTATTAAATATTGGTAAAGTGTTTCCTTGTTCTAAGAATGTAAAACGACTCAACAAAGAATATAAAACTTAAATTTATGCTATGTTTTCTGTGTTCGCGTAACTGTAGTTTCTACTCAGTTTATATCAGTTTCTCAGCTGACTGTCTGTAATTACATATTCACTGCCTCCGCGAAGCTATACCGAGATTCGAAGTTACGAGTAAAACGCAAACTGGAAGCGCATAGGTGTTGACAGTACCAATATTAACGTAACGTTGACGATCATTTCTCGAGCAAACAAGCTCGTCTATCGACGAACGTGACGGATCGTGTGGAATAATGGATTCCATACTCCTTTCACGTTACCGCACCGTGTCGCGGGTGGCCTTCGCGGAAACCTCACGAATTTTGTGGATCCTCGAATAAAAAGGAGGGAAGAAAAGGGAGCGATTACTGTACCAAAGCGTTGTCAGGTCAGACCCAATTCTTGAGTCCACTTCCGTGTCGAAGTGTCTCATGAAAACCTCGTTCTGCCCGGGACTGGTGATTCGATTTGCTGAAGCTCCATTGACGCACGCGAAGTTCACGCGTTTATGCGGAAAGTGAAAGGAAAACTAGCACATTTCGTCATCGCTCAGAGGAAGCGAGGGGAAAAAGAAGGTTTATGGGGAATAAAAAGTGGGCACGGTTCTTCATGCGTGCAGCGAGTTCCAGTTTCCTAGGCGCGCGTGTACTCGCATTCCTCGGCCAGCTTTATCACTGCGTGCGATGTACCGTTTACCGATAATGATCGCAGTAATGGTTGCGCTCTTCGCGCTGTTTCGCTCGCGAATGAACGTTAACCGCCTCCCCCCGTCGCTCTTTCCCCACGGTGTCGAAACAGTTCCTTTCGGTCATCACTTTCGAATACGGTTTCGAGCGTGTTCTTATTATTTTTTTACCGAGATTTCTCTAACGGGCGGCGGTTCGACAAACCCTCGAACGTTACCGCAATAACTGGTCGTACATTCATCAACGTGCAATTTGTTACGCGATTTCGCCGGTCGACCGACGTGACGCGCGAAACGGGGAAAAAGGGGGGCCCGCGACGAAACGCGCGGACGAACGAGACCTCTCCCTATCAATGGCTGTCGTACAACCCGCGGAAAGCAAACACGTCGCGGCCGTAATTACTTCGCACGGATTGTCGGTGAACGGGTGAAATTGCCCCGTATAAATCGAACACGCGCGTCGGGTGGAAAGAAGCATGACGCGCGGTACGGTTCTGGGACTGAGCAAATGGCGGAAATAATAACGCACAAGGATTTCGCGATAACGCCGCAGTGCAATCGCGTACGTAAGGAAGCTCCTGACGTAATGCCGTGTAGCGGATTTCCACGTACCACGCGTCGGCGTAAAGAATGAGAGGAAAAAAAGAGGAGCGTGAAAGGACCTCCTCGCGCGCTCCTTTCCAGGCGCTCAGCGGAAGGCACAATGGAGATTGATGCAAGCGCCAAGTCACGATTCTTTAAATTGTAAAACGATAAACACGGCCGTTCCAGATGCCGTTGCGCAACGTCGCCAGACGCGTCTGCACTCCGAGGCGCGGCCGCGTTCTCCGATTTCTCGGAAGCGTCCCGACAATTTCGCGCCAATTTCTGGGGAACGAGGAAGCGTTGGAAATGGCGGCCTCCGACTTTCGGACAAACGATTTTTTTTTTTGGTTGTTCGAGAATGATCCTGCGCGTGAAACAGGAAAAACATGTCAAAATTTGATGCGAGCGGTGGTTATTCAGGAATGTTCAACCCCTTTCGATATCGGGAACAAACATAATCGCTGGTGATCACGGAATTGTATAAGATGTCGGACGCTGTCGGAAGCGGTAGTCCACGGGCTATGATAGCTTTCTAAGAGTAATTTACGAGCAACCTTTGGCCATATTTCAGAGACACCGATATTTCTTCTCTCGCGTTCCTTTTTTCTCCTTCTTTCTCTTTCTTCGTGTTCCCGGGGACGCCGCGCCGGGATTACGGTAAGAACAGCGAAGCAGCAGACCGGTAAAATAATGCGTTCGCGCAAAAAGAAACGTTTTACGTCACAATTGACGGAAACGTAACTCACGGGTATGCAATCGGAATACTTTGACCGTAGTGCGCCGCGGGAACGTTGTATTTGCATCGGTTTCCCTTTACACCCGAACGCCATCCGCGCTCGGTCCGCGACTAATCGAAGAAATCTCTCTCTTTCGCTCTGTTATGCGAACTTCCTAGACCATTAAATATGATTACCCAGCTTGGCGCATGTTAAATAACGGGATTTGCTAACCGACCGTCTCCGCGTGTCTCCCAGGCTTCGCGCGTAAGTATCGGTTAGCACGCCTTTAAAACTCGCCTGGTTTCTAAGAGATAAACCCGGCTAATGGTTATTTCTTAACGACTTGGTAAGTATTAAACGGCCGGGAACCCCTCGACTCTTCGCAGTTTATAAACTACCCCTTTAAAGCGGTATATACGTAAAATCAACGTTTCCCGGCGCGCTATGCTTCATAGAAACTCCAATGTTCTGAATTAATAGTTTGTCGCGCATGGCGTATATGTGGTTCTTTGTTTCTCGTGTTTCGTTTATGAAGGAAAATAATCCAAGATTTAAATATTTCTTGGAGAAGATAGTTTCCGGTGCTAGTAGTTAATACATTAGTTTCCTATTTTTTTTATGTATAAGTTAATAATTCCTTACTCCATGTTAAAACGCTTAGCTCTTTTTCCTCTGTCCAAGTAATATTTTCCATGGTAGAAAGAAAATTCCTTCAGTTAAATACTGCAATCCCGTTTGACGTTACCTGCATCCCGAGCGCTGCGACACATTGTCCGTGCCAGTCCGTGATTCGCAAAGGTGAACAACTGATACGCGATACAATTGAACGATCGATAGGCGGCAGCGTGAAACGCGATTGTGCCGCATCGATGCAGTTCCCCTTGATCGGTGGACAAGGTCGACAAACCGGATATTCGCGGAGAGGGTATTCGTCAATGGTTCGAAATTGTCTTAAGCGGGTCTCCTCGTTCCCAAGCGGGTCCGCTGGAACATACCAGTCTACGCTCTATCGTCTCCGATAAGCTTGCACGATTCCTCGACGTGCATTCGTACGTAACAATTCGAGCGTTGCGCTTTCCGCCGTCCGCGGTACCCACTTTCCTACTTTTTAAAATTTACGTATCCATTCTGTAGCCACTTTCAGTTTCTACCCAGTGTTGGCTAGGTCCGATAAAATCAAATTACGAGAAAAAAGTGCGCCCGCCTCGTGGATACGCGGAACTGGAATTTTAATTCCCGCAGATATCACGGGTGATTAAACCAACGCTCAAGGAGCAAACGTTTCTATCTCCGGGAGGAAATCGGATCTCGAATAAATCCGAAGCTTTTAAATTTAAATATTACTAATCTCATGACGGAAATGATCCTGTAAGTTCAAAAACTTTTTGTTGAATATACTTCGTTGAGTGCAGGAATGTCGCAGAATATAAGCCTGAGATATTAAGACCGCTGAAAAAGAGTGACGAACGCGTTCGTTCTCGAACGTACGCCGAAAGGAACACGTTTCACAGTTTCCTTCCTTCTTTCCTTTTTCCTTTCTCGACTTATGACTTAACGCGCGGACACCGTTCGCCTTAACGACCGTGCAAACGACCCGCGCGCTCCTTTTTCCCTGTGACACTTCGGCCCAACTGTAAAACAGGTGTATCACCTAACGTAACATTAATTGGTGAAAGTTCCGCGGCGATTCCCCGCGATCACGTAACCGCTAACACGGTTCTCTTCCTCCGCTATCGATCTCGCGCTCCGCTGCAGGGGTTACGTAATCGCGTGCGTGCATGCCTGCATGTATGTATGTATAAAAATATCGCTTTATTTATCTGTGTACATGTACATATGTAAAAAAGAAACGAAGTACATCGTTATATAATACAATTCGAGGTTGGGATCACTCATTAGAAGCGAAATGTTCCGTTGCGGGGCACGTTCAGCTCCGGATCGGCCGGGTCGATCGGCCTGCCGTTCGTGCTCTGGTGGAACCGGTTTCGCGAAATCAGCTGTTACGTGCCGCCGGTAATCGTCGAACGATACACGACGCGGAAGGTCAAAGACTTCCAACCTCGTCGAGGCGGGATTCGGTTGCTCCCTCAGCCTCAGTAGTGATGCTCTAGACCGCCGAGCTCGTGTCCGCCGAATCCTCCACCGTAACCACCGCCGAATCCGCCGCCGAATCCGCCGCCGCCGTGCTCCTTCACGTAGATTGGCACTGCCTCCTTCACCACCACCGGCACTTTAACAGGGTAGGGGACCGGCTTCGCCACCGAGATCGGTACCTTGATTGGCACCTTAACTGGGTAAGGCACCTTTACCGGCACCTTGATGGGAACCTTGACGGGGTAAGGCACTGGCTTCTCTACGGTAACCGGGTACGGTTTCTCTACGGTGACTGGATACGGCTGTGGCACGTGAACGGGGTACGGCTTGTCGATCGGCACTTTGATCGGCACCTTCACGGGATAGGGCACGTGCTTCTCAACCTCGACCGGATACGGCTCCGGCACATGGACCGTCTTCGTGACCGTGATCGCCTTCACGTGTTCCGCAGATATGCTCTCATGACCGCCACCGAATCCGCCGCCTAAACCACCTCCATAACCACCTCCGAAACCTCCTCCGAAACCTCCGTGATCACCCAGGCTCAGCTCCAAGCCGCGTTTCGTTTTCGACTCGTTCGGTTGGGCGCTCGCCGGTTGCGCAGACTTCTTCGCCTCTTCGGCTGCCACGGACAGCACCAGGCCGCAGACGAGCAAAATCTGAGGAACAAATTTTTCGAACGTTAATGCTTCCGATGATCGACTCTGTTCGAGGATTATCGTTGCTGATTTTATGGCTTATGAATTCTATCGCGTACAGATTCTATCATCTAACGAAGAGATAATTGTAATGGAAATTTTCAACAAGTCTTGTTTTCTTTTAAATGGAACTGATAGGATAGACGAAGAGATACATGTACGAGTGAAATCTGGTTTAAGCTTCTCGAGTAAGGAACTCGCCGAGCAAGCGCTACTAACGATTCCGTCGATTGCGTCTAGGACGATAACACGTTAAAATTTTCGCCGGTTAGACCAAGCCTTGCGTTCCCGTCCCTCGGCTCTCGAGAGACGGGAATTCAAGCGGCCCGGCCGTGGCTACTCACTTTCAGCTTCTCTGTGCTGTTCATGTTGGTCGACAGTGAGCACACTGATTTCTCGTTGGCCTACCCCCGCTTTTATAGGGGACGCAACTGCCCAAGCCGGGCGCGGGCAACTCGAGCGTGCCGATGAAATTGTTGCGGAGTAGGAAGTCGGTGGGGAAGGAAAGGAAGAGGATGACGTCACGGACGACGCTTTCCTCCGACAGCTTTTGTCAGACGAGATTTAGCAAGCTGTTTCACGTTTCGGTTCAATTTCTTCTTTAACTGTGCCGCACAATTTCCGAGGCTGCTTTAGTGTCCTTTCGAATGAGTCTAGGACTCTTTCGACGCCATCTTTCGATTCTTCATCCATTCATCTATTATTCACACTTTGTTTCACTACGTCGGTCTCAGAAGGAAGCTTATTTTTTTAAAGAAATTTGAAACACCAAATTTTAAACTTAATATGACCCTTACTTTAAATATATATTTCAAATATTATTAACCTTTTAGCTACGGCGGGACCAGCCGTGAAGCTGTACCTCTACACGGCAAGGTTTGACGCGATCTGCATATCATGAGCGTAATATCACTGCGATTTGAGACTGATAGGATTTTCCACTGTGCAATTACATTAGATTAGACTATAATGTGCACCACTATCGATGACAGAGAAAGATTTGTGCTACTATAGTGGCGTACCGTTCAAAAAGATGATATGCACGAAAGCCACTATATTGCGTACAATAGCTAAAAGAGTAAGAAAGTAGAAATATGTGTATTTTAGTAACTATTTTAGTGTAATATATTTAGATTCAAAATATTTCTTAGACAGACGAGAGTACGCCTACGTAGAAAAATGAAAGTTTGAATTGGTTGAAAAGGACCCAAAGAGTGGATCCAAATGACTTAAAAATACACGTTGCTTTTTCAGCAAAAAAATTTACATGACACAATTCGCCAGCATGTCAACAGGAAATTGACGATTATAGCCGTGATTTGTAGGAATACGTTAATTTTCTGCCAGCCGGGTGTCCGAAGTTTCTCCGAAATTCCGTGACATTCGTTCGATCGTTAGTGAAACGGAAAGGAAATAAATATAATAGACGAACGGTCGCGATCGCGTCTCGACTCTCTCGAAAGAATTATGCGTCGATCGTCTTCGAACTTCTCCTCGTCGTCGTTCGCTGAGTCGCCAAGTTTTCAATTACAGGATGAGCCATCGGAGCGAACCGGTGCAAGTAATGCGGATTCAACTCCGCCACCTCTTTTTAATCCGATTAGTGTTCACAATACGTTTCTACATCTCTGTACTCGCATCCTCAGGAGCTTCATTAATATTGAGAGCTTAATTAAAGCGGGAAGCGAACCGTTACGACGCCTCCAAGGCGTCCGAGTTACATCCTCGATGTCTTTTCAGCTAACTTCCATCACCTATCGGGGATAAAATAACTTTTCCCTATACTAACGAACGTATCCATACATCATGTTTCATTTTCCTTTCCTCGTCACATCTTTTCCGTCGAAATAATACGTTTTCCGAATCAGCTGTCACGTTGAATTCACCCGGTGTCTTTTAATGATCCAATCAAGACGTAAAACAGCGGCACACGGTTCTAAAACGATCCCGCGAACGATCGTCAATTTATAACGACGGAACGAACGAAAATAAAACGACCTGGATTCTTGAGGAAGAAACCGATAGAATTTCCGGCGAAACAGTTATCCAGTCGATATTCGCGGGCTGAACACCTAGCCATCCGCAGACTCGTTCGGTCAGCGGTGCAACGATTTTTGGGTTATCAACTCCCGCGCTCCCGGGAGAGCAGTTAATCTCGGAATGACTTTGTACCTTGATCTCGCCTGTTGGAAGGCATTAGAATATCCCCGCGTATCCGTGGTTTATCAGGCTTATCGGCGGGAATACATTTCCATATATCTGAATTTGAATCTCCATATTTGAATCTGAAAATATTGATTTGACTCGCGGCCTAGCCGGCACGGAGCCCGGCGCGTTTCGGCGAGCCGAGTCAGCCTCGATTGGCTTCGATCGGGTTTGATCGGGTACGGAGTGGAATGTGATAGGAAGATGTTTGTCGATAGTTTTCTATATCGACATCTGGCGATATTCAATTATTTTCGACGAATTTATTGGCGGCCGTGCGGGTTGATTCGAATCTCTGTGGACCGTTACGTGATTTTTACACGTTGACAATGTTAACGGATAATGTTTCGTGTACGAATAACCGCGATATTGTCGTTCCAGACGAAATGATTTTAAGGATATCGTTATACCGTGGTATTGGAAAATATTATTTGTGTTACAAATAAATAATAAAGAGAATGAATAACAGTTTATTTGTGTTAATGGATACAGTCGTTAGAACATTGTATTTATTAAAAATATAAAATAATTCGGAACGAATAAAGAATAATTATTTTCCATACGAAAGCTTGGGCGTAGAAAAATTTATTCGGCTAATTATCTTAGACAAACATTTATCGGAGCAATTGGAATAATAGTCAGCCGCGCGTGGCAAAATTCGAACGACGGTGAAAGAAATATCTGTATCGAGGAACGTAATGACCCGTATTAATTGTATGAAACGTGGCTCACGGGTGCTAGGTAATTGCGCGGAACACCGTGACAAGAATCTATTTGTTTGTGGACGCAGCAGTTTCATTCATTGAATTTGAAGCTAATAACACGCATCGACGCCACTACGTGGTCAATTTTCCTCCGTCTGATTGTAATTCTACACCGACGGCAATCTATTTCGCGCAACTATTATATCACGTTCGCTGTCCATCTTCCTCCTCCTGCCCCGTCGAGCAATTAAAACAAACGGGAAATACTAAGAGATACGTGATCAGCGCGTCTTATAACATTCCCCTGCCGTTACGACTCCGCAACTATTCACAGTTTCTCTTAATTCTCCAACGTTCATTAATTCAACGCAACTATATAACCAACCGTATCATACTGACGCGGGCCGATCGACGATTCCGATAATCGAGTAATTCGCATGCGATCATTTTTATTCAAGAAATTATTCTACGCCCAAGTCTGTTCCAGTGAAATCCTTAATTCTCGATTTCAGCGCCTCGTGTTATGCGCACACGGAACTTCGGTAATCTGTCGAGATTGTGTTACAAGCGCGCTGCGTTTAATACGATTTTCATTCTAGCTGCTTCTAAAGTTTATACTTCCTAGTAATCTGTGGTGATTTATAATACTTTGTTTACATAATTATTCGAATATCATATTTTCTATCACTATACAGAGGCCGCTAGGATGTTTAGCGATGCAAAAACCTTTCTGTGTTGAAAGCCTACGTCTGCAACGTTCGAACCTGAGTCATTCGTTAAAGCGAGTGAACCCATTTTTTTACTGTTTTTAATTTCATTTCGTTTTATTTATTTACGGGTACTAAATCCCTTTTTTACAAATACATCTAAAAGTATGAACTATAATAAGAATCTACAGTCTGCCATTTGACTTATTTAAGAGTATTCATACGAATATACTAATAATTAATACTTATAACTAATGCTATAATAGGTATTATTGCAGGTTGGGGTGGAAAAGGGAGACCAATGCCTCAATGATATCTTAGCGTCGAGAAGTTTGATTGGTTTTTTACGCGCGCGATTTCATTAAACTGTTTAAATTGCTTTCAATAGTATGAGTATAACCATTTTGGATAATTGTTTCTCGGACGGCTGAATTGTTTCTCGACACTGGCTCGAAAAGGGCAACTGTGATTTTTGGCTGGATACGCGCGAATCGAACGCGCGGAACTTTGTATTCGAGTGCGACAGTTACGGAAGTGCAGCCTAAGAGCGCGAGGAGGTAAATCCTCGTGGTTGACGAGCATGCAAGCAGACGGCACTGGCGGAATTTTCGCAAAGTCTGCATTTCTGCTTCACCGACCGCAAACGTAACCTTATGCAATAATGGGAAAGGCTTTCGAGTCGACCGGGCCGCGGCTCTCATGAATATATGGATGGATGTTCTCGCTCAAGGTGTTTATCAAGCCGTTTTCTAGTTACGCCCTTTCCTTTCTCGTCCTTTTCGCGCCCTCCTTTTTACCGAGCAAATATAATCCGGCCTCTAGGGCGCCGTCTGCGGGGATCAGGAAGAGGTTCCGTCGTTTCCCTTTCATCTTTCGTCCTATTGCCACCATGCCACTCGAATTTGCTATCCGCGCGAACGATCGTTCGGCACGCTTTTAATAATGTCAATAGCAACACCAATTGAAAATCTTTGATAAAAACTGTTAATGCGATTGCTGCAGGAATGATTTGAGAGTGGAATAAAATTGAGAGGTAGAAAGTAAATAAATGAGATTCAAAGAAAATATCGAGGTAATAGTTAGTAGATATTTACTTCTTTCCTGCCGAATAATGTAGTGTTTGTTGAAATACAAAAATGATGAAAAGTTTAATAAACAGAATGATAATGTATTGGAATACATAATTTTAATACTAGATATAATGAAACGTTTATCCGAATCAGCTTTCGATTCTCTCAATACCCACCGTATCTGAATTATCATTACACAAGCAGTTTTTAGTTCGTCTAATCAAATACACTTTATCGTCGGTAGTCGGTTTCTAGTTAATTAAGAGTATTAACCCGATAATTAACGGAGGCACAGCCAATTACTTAATCACTTTTGGTGAAATTTTATTCGAACCCAAGCACGCGGATCGTCGGTCTCTTGTTCCAGCGTTTACTGTTAAGTTTCTACTTTTCCCTTTTTCGATCATGTAACCAATTATATACATTCCCAGGAACATATAGATTTGCGCTGTTTACGGAGTGCATTACAGGCGAGGATAGATGTTTATCATCACGGGTATGCATTTTTTCGCGTGATACTCTCTCTCCAATAGCACGTGTCGATCTTCGCAACGAAAGCGGTTCCCGGTCAGGCTGCATCGCATTAATTTCGTGGAAGCGGCGAAAAAATCACCGGGTGAGAGTCCCCGTTTATAATGCCAAAGTATCCGCGGAACGATTATGAAACTGGCCCTGATAAAAAGATTCTGTTCGCCGGGGAATTATCGGCGCACGATGCGCGACGGTGGGTGGCGTGCACCGTTTATTCATTACCGATACGGGGAGCGCCGTCGACGCAGCCCGCCGGATATTTTTCATTTCATAATTCAAGCCCGGCCCGACCCCCGGCCCTGCTCAGGGATTATAATATTTTCGCGTTATGTCGCGCGGGCCAATCGGCGCGCATCGATTATCGCCGCGTTCGAACGCGCGGTCCGCAGCTGCGATTCGACGCGCGGCCAAGTGATATAAAAATAACGCGTGTCCGCGTACGGTTTAACGCCGGGGATGTCGCAACGTTTTCAAATACGAATCATACGCGCTGCTGCCGCGCGCCTGTTCGAAAGTGGCTCCGCTTTTTTCTTTCTTTACTTCCCTGGCCGACTGCGGCCCTCCGAGTTATAATGCACAATGAGCGTGCATTCCATTAAACATCGAATAAAAGTACCATCGAATTTCTCCCGAGAACGCGTCGGCGAAACTGCGATCGAATCTCGCTCAGAGTTCCGTATGACGATTTCGCATAAGCAAAAAACATTTGGCGGATTTCTTACACAACCGACCGCGCGCGCGACTTTACCACGTCGAATACGTTATTAATGATAATCTCGCGGCTTATCTAGCTTCCTCTTCGTAGAGCGCGAGTAACCCGAGAACGAGGCGTTGGAAACATCGACCGCGGACACCGTCGGGCGACAACGTTGTCGCCCACCGTGACGCCTAACGATTTCCTTGGCGTATCCGATGTTCTATCTTTTAATTAACCGAGCATCCAGCATGATGCCGGGAGAAGTCAGTCAATTAAGTTCCGCGGATAGAGTCCGCGAGCCCCGGCTCGGCCGTGCATGTCCGAGACAAGAGAAGAGAAAGTTGAGCGGGACCGCCGCATCCCTCTGCGACCCGACTTGCACTTGTGCACGTGCATGTGTGCGTTTCTGTGTCGCCGTGTGTCGCGCGGCTAGAACGTTTGCCACTTAATTACAACGCTTCGAACGAAAACCGAGCAAAACAACGGCGTTCCATAATTAATTGTCGGATATCCAGAGGCGCGGTCCCTCGCGTTCACCCGACTCTCCGTTCCATTCTCTTCCCGGTTGATTTTTACTGGTGCCACGCGCCGTTACGCGTATTACCAAAAACTTTCCTGTCGTAAGGCGCTCTTGATCGCGTAATGGCCGGCGAACGGCTCGCTCGACATGCATTACGGAGTTTTATAACGCGGCCCGGTGAAAGAAGGAAAGTATCGAGGGAGATGCGTAACCGGCCATCGATCAGTTCTCGATCCGATATTATATACTGTTAATTGAACCCGCCTTCTCCAACCGTGCTTTCGAACCGTTCGCCGGTTTACCCGGTTACGTCACCGTGCTCGGTATCGAAAAATTCATGCGAATTGAGCCGTGGCTTTTTGGGACCCCTGAAAGCCGATTTTTTGCGTGTTGGGTTTTATGCTCGTGGTCGATAATCACCTCGAGGCGTCTGGTACGTTCGGTTTAATCCACTTCGCGTGTGAAATCGATGCGTTCTGCAGGATATGAAGCTATTCTTTGCTACAAGACACAATACGAATGTGCAATACAAGCAAGAATGAGGATATAGCAAAACATATAAGGACCAAATCATAAAATCATGTTAAAAATAGGATGTTGGCGTTTGAATCTATGTTAAATAAATGATGATGAGTTCTCATTCCCTTCGATGCAATTCAATTGAACAATCCTATAAACCATACATAAAGTAAAATTCTCAAATTGGAGGATTAAATTAACAGAATATAAACAAACGCAAGACCTATTTAAATTTAAAATTAAATGGATGTACTCAAAATTAAATGCTAAGAACTCAAACATAACAAGAACCTATCAGTCCATCTTTCTCTAGTATGCCAGCAGCAGCGAAACCAAACAAACACTTCCAAACCAGAAAACGCTACTAGAACAAGAACCAACGGCTTCCTCTTGTTAGCCGCGGCTCGAAATTTCTTCCTTACCGCGGAGAGATCCGAGAAACATATCCGTGGCTGCATTGCGTAAGAGCCCGAGAGTCTCGATCGGAATTATGTCCGGTACAGTTTTACGAGGCACGGGTCGGAATCGTGCGGGGTCCGGGCCGGGCCGGGCGCGAGCGTCATCGTCGCTCCTTCCGAAGTGAAAGAAAAAGAAACGCCGAAGAAGAACTGACCGCTGCCGCGGTGGAGGAGGCGACGGCGGGTGAACGGGCGGATCGAAAATGCGTGGAAGCGTTACGCGCGTATCCGGGGATCCGGTGGTGGTGGCGGCGGCGGGTTCGGTAGCCCGTGGGAAAACGGCTTAAGGCCGGCTCCGCCGAGCGACGAACGCCAACGAACGCGTTCGCCACGGTGAAGTAGCACAATCGGTCCACTTTAATGCCGGCGCGGCGGACGAGTAGTATTTTCCGGGGAGTGGGCCACAAGCCACCGGCGAAAGTGCCGGTATATATGCCAGTGATTGGCACGATGTAACTTCAGTGTGCACCTCCGAACGAAACCATGAGCACTCCACAGGTGAGCTCGCGGTCCTCGGCAAAGACACGCACCGCGCCGCAACACTTTGATTTTTTCCTTCTATCCACTTTTTTTTCAAATCGAGCGCACACGGGGGATTATGTAAGCTCGCCAGAGAAAGTTCGTTGGATATACAGGGATTGTCGTTTTGCCGGGGGTAGAAGGTTTTGCATTGTTCCATGATCTTGTAGCCGCGTGCTCTAACTCGAAAGTTGCAGCTGTAAACCGTGATACCGTTCAATTTCGATTCGCCGATCGGTTACGCGTTAGCTTTTCCTTTCACCCGGAACTTTCTCCTGTTGGCTTATCACTTACGTTACGCGGTCATTCATTTTCAAGTACAACCACTACGAATACTCAGGATCACTTGAAACGCTAATAACATATTGACATGTCTTAGAAACTTCTCATACTCGCTTTGGTGGCGACCACGACCCTGGCCAAAGACTCTAAAGAGTCTAACACCAAGGCTGCCGTCGAGACGAAGGAAAAGAGCAAAAGAGGATTGGAACTCAGTTTGGGTGGCGGTGATTTCGGAGGTTTCGGTCACGGGGGACTGAGCCTTGGAGGCGGTGGACTGGGTGGACATGGAGGCTTGAGCCTTGGAGGTGGTGGATACGGTGGACACGGAGGCTTGAGTCTTGGAGGTGGAGGATTCGGCGGAGGATTCGGTGGTGGACTCGGTGGTGGTGGCGGCGGCGGTGGCGGTGATGGCGGAAGAATCACTGGCATCACGATCCACCAGGAGAAGCAAATCCGTGTGCCTCAGCCATACACCGTTGAGAAGAATATTCCCGTGCCAGTTCCGGTTCCGGTCAAGATCCCAGTGGAGCGTCCAGTACCAGTCCACGTGCCGAAACCTTACCCGGTCCCTGTAGAGAAACCAGTCCCGGTGCCAGTGGAGAAACCGGTCCCAGTGCCGTACAATGTGCCCGTCAAAGTACCAGTCTCGGTACCGTATCCAGTCAGCGTACCCGTAAAGGTGCCAATTGCAGTGGAGAAGGAAGTACCCTACCCGGTCAAGGTCCCTGTTGTAGTCAAGGAGTCCTACCCTGTCCTCGTTAGCAGTGGCCATGGCGGAGGCGGTTTCGGTGGCGGATACGGAGGCGGATACGGAGGCGGATACGGAGGCGGATTCGGTGGACACGAGCTGTCCCTGCACCATTGATTAGGATGAACCTCGTTAACATAGATTTTCATCCACTCTCATTTATTATTCTTTTGTATATAATGATATATTTTTTTATGGAAAATAAATATTAAATTATTACATGGTGTTTGTATATTTTGTATATGTTGTATATTTTGGGCATTCCTTTTGGGGATGGCATTGGATGTTTTTTATGGTTGAGTAGGAGATTGAGGCAATGGTCGTTATTTCTTTCTTTGACATGCACTCGTACTAGTTGCGAGGCAACTTAAAACTTAGAATTTTTGACTTAGTAGTATTTTTTGTTTTGTTTAGAATTAATTTTTGTTTTGTAACTTCTTTGGAAGTTAATGTATTTTGGGTCGATCAAAGCATGACTTAATGTTGTTCTTATTAATCGGAGGATAAGAATTTCTGTAACCATGTGGTCGAAATGCGCATTAGAAACCAAGGTATCATTCTGGCGTTTCATGCTATGATATTATTTTGCTTCCGCCATAGCATTTTATTATCAAAGTAGACATAGAAATTGATTCGGCGACTTTTTCAACAAATTTTTATTTCAACAAAAGTGCAACTTTTAATCTTCAGAATATCCACCGTTACATTCTTCTAATTTCAAATGGATTCGTAACTGATTAAATGAAAGGACACCAAATCAATTTCAACACTGAACGTCGTCGCTACGTAACGAAGAATGATTGCGGTTTCTCTCGAACGCAGTTATATTTCCGTTCGATCGATCAGTGTTTCTAAACCCGGTTCCTCGTTTCGTACAATAATTAATTATTCAATCTCCTTAACTACATTCCGATTTCGTTTCGCAGTCAGAATATTGCGATCAGGAAAAATCCTAAAACTCGATACCTTTGTCCAGGAGAATTGATTAAAACAGTAACCTACAGCTAGACGTATTGCCCGTTCTCATTAAGTGCGTTGTTTATATTGCCATATAACACGCGTTAAAACGTATGCCTGGAATCAGCAATTATTGTAACCCTCTAAATGAATAGCATCATAAACTAACGCCTGTTGATGTCACTTCTGAAACGTATAGTTGCGCGAGATGGCCGCAATAACTGTTTACGATCTGACGCTCATTGTAAAATCGTCGGGTATTAATTGGCGACGGACACGCGCAGATTATTCCGTTAATTACGAATGAATTACGAATGAATTACGAAATCGTGCAGACGCAGCCGGCCGGCAGAAGGCGGTGAAACGGTCGTAAATTATTGCGGCAACGGCCGTTTGTCGCGTCGAATTTTCATGTCGGGACGGTACCACGTTTCTCCGCTGTGCATTTTTGCCCGAGGGAACGGCTGCTTTTACTTTCTTTGATGCGTCACGAACGTTCGAACGGCTAGAGACGAAATAAACGGCGAACGCGAGGGAGGTTTTTCACGTAAACGAAACAGGGGATCGCGGGCGCGAGGTGTCACAACGTTTCGTTATTTTACCGACAACGTCGACGAACATTGTCGCCGCCGTTAACATCCGGGACTTTAAGCGGCCCGATTTAGTCTTACGGTTCGTTAGCCGCGAGCTCCACTTCTCCGCGCGCGGAGGACCGATTTCTCGATACACAGTTAACCAGAAACTGTCTTACGTGTACAGAGAAATTGCAGTTCACCGTGTGCGAAATTATGCCTTGTGTTTCGGAAATAGGGTAAAGGTCAGGTAAGTTTTCTTCCATGTTTGTGATGTGTGGTATGTTATTTAGGTATGCTTTAATGATTCGATGAAAGTTATTCTTTAGGAGTACATAAAATGATTTATATGAGAGTCGAGTATAAGATGCCCTGATTGAGATTGATTGTCATTTAATTTATCTATACGTAATTTATATGTAAGAATGAGTTAAAAAGTGTAATACAGATTTTTCGTTTCGACTTTTATTTTCGAAAAAGCCAACTTCAAAAATCTTTTGAATATTGAGTGGTAATGGTGTGCTAGATCTTATCTGGTAAAAGCTTCCAGTGAGCCAGCCAAGGGGATGCGAAGGGTATTTGTAGTCTAAAGCTGGTCAGGATTTTGGAATTAAGGTGCACAGAGAAGAAAATGGGAAATCTTTCGAGCTAAGGGACTGCTAATGTCTTAGGGATTCTCAATAGCATAGCACATTAAAGATAGAAATAAGAAAATACTAATTAAACTACTACAAAGAAGTGTACCGTCAGTTCCGTTAAATTAGAGAATAATTTTTCTTCTGTTTCATTTCAGGAAAGTTTTAAGCGTATGTGACGACCATCTATCTCATTCAACTCTACTGCCCCTCATTGCCGAACAAGAATCTGAAACGTGAAGTTAACAGACACCCCTGCCAGTCACGAGTAAGTCTTTTTTTCCTTTCGCGCAGTCGCGGTTGGTTGCTGCGCGTGTTTAATTTCGCGGCACTTCCTGTTATGATTTTTATTGCTTCTGTCTAGAATTATCTAAGCGAAAGGCTTGCAAAAGAGATAACAAGAAAATTAATGAAACCGAAGCACCAGGAACGTAATGGAGGCTAATTTCTGAATGAGAATTGTACATTCGACTGCGTGTCTCTTTCCATTTCCATCTTATCCCCGTTTTTGCGGCGGCAATATACATGTCGGAACTTCGATTACAATCAACAGTCCACGAACGAGTTTGTTTATATAACTATGACAGAGCAATTATTACAATGTAAAAATTTCTTTGCTCTCGATTATCTCCGGCCATTTTCTTCTTGTTTTTCACTTTTCTAATCGGTTCAGTTCGTACTTACGATTTTCTATCAGTGGTTTAGCCTATTCTTACTAAGTAGATTACTTTTTTTGGTGTAATAAATATTTCAATATTGCCTGACTTTTAATTTATTCGACCGACGAATACTTATCTTGCGGCGTCGATTACACAATTTCCTCTGCAATAGGCTGGAAATTGTTTTCTAATTTACATTTGATCCCGTTGACGAACAAACATCGGTTCTCCTTCGGTCAGTTCTGCTGCCTGTATATGTTGGATCTACGAGCCTGAGGTTTAGCGGGAACGTAAATCATATATTAAGCCTGCTCCGCATCGTGGTTCGTGTTAACGGACGCGTAATGTCCGATCGGGCCGATTTCAGGAGGGCCAAGTACAGCTGCTGCGCCGGCTGCTGATATCTCGAGACACCGTTCTCCGGGATCGATAATTAGTGGGAAGTTCAGGTTAGCTAATTTTAATCCCTTGATATTACTGGTACCGCGATAATACATATGTAGAGGACATTCAATATTTTCATATTAGTGCTGGCACGGAATGTTAATCTTCTCGCGGTTGTGTAACTTCCCTTTCCTTTACGGTTTACTTTACGTTTAAACAACGCGATAGTAATAGCTCGAATCCATTTATCACTTGACAGTAATCGCGATCATACGATAACTATCTTTTATAAGTATGATATACTAGACGTATAGATCGGGGAATAAAGATTTTATGCCCTCATGTTTGAAACAATACAGCCAGTACTGTGCGAAATTATGAGAATTGATCGCAAGACTGCACAGGTGTAAGTGGAGCATAGATTCTGAGGCATTGTTATTTGTTTCTCAACCACATTTAATTTGGCTCGTGAATTCTGGTATTGTTGTCAATAATGAATATACATTTCATTTTGTTTTTGTATCTTTATATTTAGTTTTCTTCTTAATTTTATTTGTCTAGATCTAGATGAAAATGTTTGATTTATGAAAAATTTGATCGAACAATATTTTACAAATATTTGCTTTGATTATTATATTCGTAAAAATACAAGTTTCTTCAAATACGTATCCAATTTAACTGCAGTCTAGTAGTACATTGTGGCAATCTAAGAATATTCGTTATTCAGTACCATCGTTTCTAGGGGTCGAAGTAAATCCAGCGATTTGCGAGGGTCCACTTTGCTTTTAGCGTTCGCTACGGTGGCTAAGTATAGGTAGCTTGTTAATGGATTAACTCCAGCAGAAACGTTACTAACGCGCGCGCTTCCAAAACGCTAATTAAAAGATTTATGTGATAATGCAGCCGATGGTTGCTAAGAGCCTCCTAGTCTTGTCATATAGTTATCGAAATGCGACTCTCTTATTATATGCGGTTAATACAAACTTCGAATGTAGGCACCAAATATAATTTCAACGAAACAAGAAACAAGTTTTGCCAAAAAACGATGTAGAAATCTCTATAATCTTCCAAAAATAAGTATAATCGCACTTTCACGTGGTATCCCGTAGTCCAGTTTATCACGCGACACATAAAGATCACCACTGACGAAACATTTGTAATGATCGATGCTCGAAATCACGTTACACAATGATATGTCTTTCTACATTCCTCATTTCTCATGTTGAACAACATTTTTTATTAAAAGTCGTTCACGCTATTTCAACACACAAGTTTCATAAAACTGACCAGTATATGTACAAAAAGTTGTAAGTACCAACATCAAACTTTTCAAGAGGAAGAAAGTTACATAAAATTGTGTCATTATGATGTCATCTTTCAATATTACCAGTATTACGAATTACCGACATTACCGATTACGTGTGCAATCGCATACCGTCAAATAAGCATAAAAGAAAATAAACGCTCAGCTTTGCCGTGCACAGTTTCCTACAACTCTTCAATTAATAAATGATGAACTACCATAGAACGATAGATTATTCGCCGTGTCATCGAACAATCTCGCGACTGTCGTCTCTATCAATGAGAGTCTAGTGTCTTGTATCCGTGTGTAAACACACGCTCCTCTAAAGTATCTGCGCGGTAAATGGGAACGACTTTCTACTAATTGCTTCCGCGGATTGAACTCACGTCGAGTTCACGTGATTACAGAGTTATACTTGATACTATCCGGTAGAGCAGCTACTTCCGACCATTGCCGCGAGTTTATCTGATCGGTCGAACCCGCGGAACGAAGATATGCGTTGTATTCCGGTTACGCTTGTCGCGAATTCCGAAGCCGGGAACGTTCCCGGCGAAAACGCGGCCGAGATTTTCCTACTCGATCCGATTCCCCGGTCTGCGAACGAGGA